TTCACTGGAAGTCCTCTAAAGGATGTGAATTGATTTCCACACATTAAAACAGTAGAAGCGTATTGCCGCCTAGGGAATTCTATCAGCACATACTGTTGAATTGATCATGCTTTTAAAGAGGTCATATATCTCCTTCATATCATGTATGGATCTCTCTTGGACAAAGCCAGATACATTACCACAGAGCTTCTGCTTCAGAAACAAAGGCTATTCCGCTTTTATACTGTTACTGCATTGCAATTACAATATCACTTTAGTGAACCTTTAGCGTGATCTATTTAAAGATGGCCTGCATTAATTGTGACCAAAATGACCTATATTCAATGGATCATGTGAATGCTTTCATGCATCTAACCACCCAAAGAATCTCATCTGGAGCATCTGTGATTGGTTAAGGTGCTCACAGTACAGGCTGTTCAGTTCACATATAAAATGACCTGCTTTTGAATGGTATAGCTAGTTACCTTGTAATGTACAGAAAAATTAGACTACTGACCTCAAGCTCACTTTTCCCCAGCCATGAACAGCTCCAAACTCTTGTTTTTTGCCTTTTAAGACACAATTTTTTATCGAGGCCAAGAGGCCACTATTATATCAAGAGCTTTGCTTTTTTGATTGCGTAATCCCATTTTTAGACCAAAGCCCAATGTGGTTATTTTATGCATTGTTTTTAATCTGACTGTCAGTATACATGAATATAGCCTTAATTAATGATATCGCAAATGATAGACTTGTGCCACAATCAGAGGTTTTGACATCGTAAAAGACCGCTAACCTTTCCATTGATGGTGAAGGCATAGAAGTGGTGGACAGGTTTTAGCCATTTAGATCAGATATTAACAACAAAGGATCTAGCAATCAAGAAATATGACACAGAACAAATGGATCCTTGATCAAATCAAGCCTCACCTCTCGCACAAAGTTCAGCTGACAAACTAACGCTCTCTTATTTTGGACATATTATGAGAAGAACCATTTCACTGGAAAAGACCATTATGCTTGGAATAGTTAAAGGTAAAAGAGGAAGAGGACGGCCAGCAACAAGATGGAAGGACGCAATCAGAGATATCAAGAACAAACCATTAGGAAGCCTGTACACCCAAACAGAAGACAGGACATTCTGGAGCAATGCACTATCCATATGACTGCCAGGTGAACCAAAACTGACTTGATGGCACTAAAAAATATATTTATTTTAATAATAATCATGTACTGCAAACTATTGTATGCAATAATAGTGACAGAAAATGGTCAGAAAACTGTTAAATTTAATTCTACAAACAGCAAGGTCCATCGTTGCCACAGCAGCTCTGCAAAATCCTGATGTTTGAATTGATAATTGGCCATAAACAATGCTGCTCTCAGAATTAGTCACACTCCTATGTCTTGGCTAGCTGAGGTCCAATCCATCAAGACAAGGGACAGGAGAGGTGGAGTGAATTGGTCCAGCCATTCATGACGAACATAGCTTGGGAAAAAAGGAAATCTCCACTGGCATTCCCCATGAGTCAACCTGCTTCAAGTAGTGAAAGTGAAAAGAGAGCAGAAATGAGTCACTGAAAGATAGATAGGATGAGAATGTCAAGACAAGAGAGGTTATATGTGTGTAATAGCATGTTCCACAATGTTTTCTGCTTAATTTTAGACTGCAGTTGAAATATATGGGAAAAACAGATTGTGGCTACGATCCTAATTCTAAAAAAAGGAGTAAAAAGTCACGATCTGTAATCATGACTAGCTTTAGTAGTATTTTATCTAGTTAAAGTGCATCATGCCATTGTAATTAACATCTTACATTACTCCCTGAGCCAAGGTTACATATTGTAATGTTATAGGCCTACAGCAAGAATAAGTAATAGCAGACGCATTGAAATGTGATCTGTTACCAAACGAGTTATGCCTTGTCCTTTGGATGTGGTTACCGAACTACCCAAACCTGTCAAACCAAGGGCCAAATTCATCAAAAAAAAGTGAAATTACATTAAATTACATAAAAGACATACAGTACTGCACAGGAGTCAGAAACCACCCTTCATTTATTTCACTTCTGGTCAGAATAGCCAAGCACAAGTTTACATTTTTTAGGAGATATTTCTGTTGAGATTAGATATAAGATAATCCACTTGCATAAGGTGGGAGAAAGTCAAGTTAAAAAACAGGAGTTTCCAAAAACAATTAGAAGATCTAGAGAAAATGGGACTCCTGACAACTGTGCAAGACCTGATAGACCCCAACACTGTCACCATGAGATCAACAGCGCTTAAAGCTTTCATTCAAAGTGAATGAAAAAATTCCATTCTTGCTTCAAATATGAACAAAAACAGGTGTTTCTGTCCATCCTTCCACTGTGAGAAGACAACTTAACACTGTGGGTCTGAAAGGCTGTCAAGAAGCTGTTACTAAGAAAAGGAAACAGACAAAAAAAGAAGAAAATTTGCAAATCAAAGAAGCTGTTGATGCTCTCAGAAAAATGGACTGACCACACCAGAGTCTCAACATCCTTGAATGTTTGGGATTACTTGGATCGTGAAAAGCAGAAAATGCAATCAACTTCTAAGACTGAACTTTGGAGGTGTGAAAAAATATCCCTACAAATTACTTTGTAAAACTGAAAGAGAGTCTCCCTAAAAGAAAGGATCCTGAAATAAAGGCAAAGAGTGAACACCCTAAATATTGACTTTGGGTATTATAATTAGTTGTTGAAGCTTCTGTATGGTTTTCTGCTAAATATACATATTTTCTGCTTTTTTGATGCTGAAAAATGAATAATACTGTATTTGGACATGACTGATAATGTTCTTATTACTTGCTAACTACTAGTCTCTTAGCCCACCATATCGCAATTACTTCTAAGTTACTCACTATTCAATTCCAGAGTCTTAATGGTGTACCCTTAAGTTCACTTTAGCCAGTCTCATAAACTGACAGCATGTGTCAGAATTAAAGCCTAAAATGTGATCCGATTTAAGGACAAAATAACACAGTTGGCATGTAAAGCTGATCCTCTGGTTATAACTTGGGTGTTGCCACATCACGAGTCAGGCCCAACATCTCCACAGCTACTGAATAACCAATCTTATCTCGCCAACATTTCATGTCAAGTGAAATATCATCCGAAAGACCACAGCCCATCTGGGTAAAATTACAGGATTCACGATTTGAATCTGTGAGCATAATTAACATGTTTCAGGACGGAAGCCTTTAATCGTGAGGTGAAATGACAGACCCCTCCGTGTGTTTACAAGCCGTGAATGCCTGTTGGTGTTCACGTTCTGTAAAGTTAGTTCACTTACTGTCCAGCGTTTGAGCTATTGCTTAGCTGACAGAATGAATGCTCTTGCCTGAATGACAGAGATAGTTCAGTCGAACAGGGCCTCCACCTTGTATAATTGGTGGTAGTCTTCCAGTGGGTCCTGTGGCCTCATATGCCTGTGAAGCATTAATGTGGTTTTTCAACACTGTTGCAACAAAACTTCTTGTGAAGTCAGCAGCTCAGGGACTTGCCCAAACAGCAGCTTTCGTTGCAGCAATCCCTGCCAGCACCACACAGCCCAACCTCAGCGATGAGGCCTGTTACACCTCTTTACTCAAAAGCAATCAAAGCAAAGCTTTAACAGAGTGTGACTAACATCAAGAGTCTCACAGTACCTGTCAACGTCTCGTGACAGTCTGACTGAAAACTTCGATGAGGGGAATTTTTCCGGCAAAATTCAAACACTGAGATGTAAACCAAGTTATTCAGAGTGGTTTGATGTGAAATGGTGCATTGTGGAGAAACTTACTGACTCCGATTTCTTTACAGTGGTGGTGACAGGAACCAGAGGTTGCACTGTTTACAGCGCAAATTCAGCCAATATAGTATTAGATTTCCTATGCAAAATGAACAGTAAGCCTACACAGGTCTTCAGAGTTTTATATGAAATGCTGACATTGGTAAAACAGTGGTAAAAATAAATCCAAGTCTCGTGCATCAGGCAACAAATTCATAACCATTTCGAGTAATAACCTCCTGTGTTGTGGGTTTCAGAGGCATTAAACGCCTCAAAACGTCTCTCACCACTGCTGCGACTTTCTTCACATCTTATTCATTGTGCAGAAATTTTTAAAATTTAGTGGAAACCATATAATTTTTCAGTCAATTCAGTTCTAATGGGTCCTTGTATTTGGGTCAGTGTGTTTGTTTTGAGAAGGTAATGGGGAGTGGAGTGGAAATTTCAGGCAATGATGGCGAAAAACACTGGGTCACGGGGTGAAGAGTGTGAGAGGACTCGTCTGTGTGGAAGCCCATTCCCACCACTTAAAACAACAAAATCCAGCGACTAATTACTATGTTTTCATTATTAAGTGAATTACAATGCCATTATTTTGCGATTCTATCACATTATTTTGAGATGCTTCATACTTTTGAGATGATATGTATGAATATATGTATATATATATATATATACATATATATATATATATATATATATATATATATATATATATGACATATGCAACGAAAGCATATATAGAGATATATATAAAAGAATACATTTCTTCAAAATTATGACTTACTATTGCAAAATAATGGCATAGCATTTAATTTAATAATGAAAAAAATAACAATTAGGTGCTGGATTTCTCTTTTATTTAAGTAGTGTGAATGGGCTTCCATACTTCTGACTTTTTTGTGCCAAATGTGATGACGTTTTCCAGAAATGTGAACTGTAATCATGTTTATTTACACAGAAAAGCCAACTTTTTTAAGAACGGAGGTTATCTTAGCTGAAGCTGCTCAGTGAGGGGACACAGCAGTAGACGTATGAAGGAAGAGCAGGTCAGTTATCAGGGGACAAACCTCTGGTATAAATGGACTTGAATGGCTTAACCGTGATGAGCAGTTGTAACACGCACCGCAAAGCCAGAGTGCACCGTTTACTGTAAGGTAGCTTAAGGCCGGTTAGGTCATGTGTGAAACCCCCCGCAAGCTGCCTACAACACCAGGAAGATGCTCTTACTTTTCAGGGCTTGAATGAGCGCCTTGCCGTCCTTGATGAGCTCCTTGATGAACTTGTTGGTTTTGTCCAGCTCCAGCTCGTGAGACTTGAGCCTCTCTCGGAACTGCGGGCTGTCCAGATAGCAGTCGCTGAACTCCAGAGCGGGCAGTCCCATGTTTCCTCCTCCACGTCCAAATCCACAGCGCAAAAACTAGCGAAAAAACGTTCAGGGGAGGGGACGGTGCTGTCGAAGCGAGGAGGCTAGAATCAGACGCGCCGTAATCGCCCGTGTTAATCACATATCGACACGGCTGCCTTTTTGCAGAAACGCGGGCTAACGGACGCTGCTTTCAGCTAACAACAAAAACAAAAGCAGCGGCGACCCGACCGCATCCCAGAAATGCCACTTCACCACAGCGCTCCGTGGGTCTGAAGGAGAAAATGTGTGAAAATATCTAATGCGAGCCGAAACCTGTGCACCTCTCACGGCAACGTCACGCTGCTTCAGGGGGGAGGAGAAGAGGGAGGGCAGCAGAAGACAAAACGCTGTAACGGAGGAATCCTCGCCTGGGCGTTTTAAACAGATCAACCCTCGGGCCGAATCCCAAACTGCTCCCTTACCGACTTTAAGTGCACAGTTTGGGTGTGGAATCCGTTATTTTGTGATAAACGCAGTACACTACAAAGGGAGCAGAGGAGCCGTTTGAGACGCGTCCGCCTACTCTTTTCCTGCCAACCTACCACGAAGCAGATAATCCGATGATTGACGTCGCTCTCTGCCAATAGCCTTACGGGATTCCGAAACGGACCGAGTGATGGGCGCGTCGACGAGAGCCAAACAAACGGTTTGATTGGTCAGGAGCGATGACGTCACACTGAAGCGGGGATTTCGTCTCTTCTTGCAGGAGGAAAGCCGAGGCCGCTGATAAACGTCCAAAAATCAGCTTTTTTTGTATTCTCATGTCCATAACTTCATTTAGCTTACGTTTTATTAGGCTTTTAGCGTAATAACCACAAAGTGTTAGTCTATCGTCACACTGAACTACATACACTTCCATAAAGTTGTGTTGATATATTTTTTAAATTGCAAGATGTCAACACGCAGCTAATGTAACTTAGGCTAGGTTAGTCAATACATTTACCTTGAACACTTTTTAGGAACGCTTTAATCCATTTTAATCTCAGTAATACATCTTAATATGTTTTGACATATTAACAAGTGTGTTATACATTTGTTATAATAAGTTTTATAAATGTAGCTGAACCAGAATTTCACAGATATGCTATTCCCAAAAGGGCACATATCTTACATTTTTCTTGTGTTCTATTTTTATTTATTGAGGTCAAGTTATGACATTTGAGTTATTTTATGTATCAAAAAATCATTCTATATAACCATTTTCCCACTTCTCTTTATCTGTCAGAATCAATCAGGCTGTTTTTTTGTTAGAGACTGAGCCTTTAAGGCTAATAAATGTGTAAATGACGTCTTGTTCTGATTGGCTGTCCTGTATTGTACCTCATTTAAACAACAGTCCAGGCTGGAACGTGCCTTTTAACTTCAGCATGAATAGGCGGGGCTAAACTATGATAGGCTGAATGGATAGCTGTATGTATATGCATTGGTTTTTGTGACATCACAAAAACAATGAACATAAAATGGTTTTTTTGCAGCTTAGTTGCCATTTACAGACTGTAGTGACAGAGTCACTGAAACAATGTTTACGAACTACGTCAAACTCTTATTTCAAAAAGTGATTTTTATTTCAAAAACTAATCTGCATTTGTCTTGTTCTGTTGGGTGGGTGTACGGATTCTGTTTAATGGCACAACAAAGATCCATGGATAAATTAAAGAGGGAAATGAAATGCACCGAATGATTTGTGGCCCTTTTCTTTAAATGAATAATACTCATACAGCAACTTCCTCCTTGCGATCTGAAAGCAGAATAGAGAGTTAATGAGCTTTTCTTTATACAGATGTGAAAGCACTTGGATTTATAGTACTACACCTGGAGCAAAAATCAGTCCAGAGAGTGGACCGGATGGCCATTAAGACAAATGATAAACTTTCAGAGAAGGTATTATGTGAGCTAGAAGGTGAAAAAGACTAATCCTTTTCCCTCATTTAAGACATATTACTCACTAAGAGGTTCCTGTAGAGCATTTCTGAACATTACACAATGCAATTATATCTGCAGAAAGTGCAGCTGCCGCAGTTTGCTGAGTAAGCCCGGGTCAAGCAGCACAACTCCTCTGGAAAGTGACACGGAAACTGAAATTTTAAAATATTTGCTATTGTTTCCATGCAAACTACACAAACGACATCCATTGTAAATGGCCCGTTCGTAACTATCCCTTAGAAACATTCATAATTACCCTCGAAGAATGTTTAAACACAGCGTGTCGGGGGGAACAGAATATGGCCAAGTCCAGTGAGTCACGTTCAGAGAATGTATTACCGCAGCTCTGCAGCCAGAGCCAGAATAGCTTTCTCTCCAGCATCATCTTTGACCAGAGTGTCTCAGGCAGTTTGACCCAGCTCCAGCAGAGAGAAGGATGACCACACGGAGGACTCGTGTGCCTCAGGCCTCTGAAGGCGGTTCTCAGCTTGGACCTGTGGAGAAAAGAGGGCAAGAGAGCAAAGAGGACATGCTGGGGGATTTTCTTCTGACAGTGATGTTAAACTGTATGAAGAAAGAGAGAAAATTTTAAGCTTAGAGTCTCAAGGACCCGTATGTGGCCTCTACTTCAGTTACTGCTTAACTTATGCATCACTGATATATCAAAACCTCATAATTCTAGCTTTTTTGTTTTTAAATACAACACCTGCCATTGCATTGTGTGAAAACTTCATGATAAATGGACCAATAAAAATGGAATAAAATCATGTTACAATATTGTGAGAATGTACTTTACTTTGGAGATATTTTGGAGGGTCACCAAAGGCTTATTTGCCAGCTACTGCCATCATTAATAATGCAGATGTAATGATTAGTAATTCATGTGTAATGCAGAGTAATTTGCTGCTTTATAAAAGTGTATTTATTAAAAAAAGGTTATTTACTGCAATTACTGAGGGAGAAAGAGGGAGCTACTGAGAGAGAAAGAGAGATACATAGAGAGAGAGAGAGAGAGAAAGAGAGACAGTAAAACTCACTCTGTCTGAATGAATGACTTTAGTTACAGCCTGTGGGCAGTTACTGACACAGTGTTGAATGTGCTGAATTCCCCTGGTGTAGATTTCATTGATAACTGAAATACCTGCCCCTGCACATGAGTCCAGTCTGTCTGAAGGTAAGCAGCCACCTGTCAGAACCGGAGCATTTCCTCCTTTCTCCTGACTGGAGACAGGCTGGTCTGCAGTGGGAACCAGCACTGCATCTGGAGATCCTTCCTGAAGTGTCTCCCCCCAGTCATAACGTACCACAGCTGCATTAGCATTGGCGGTGTTGGCAGAGAAAGTGGTGGTGGTGATGGGGGGGGTGCCCAGTATGTCAGATGTAGGTTGAGACTAAACAAGAAGATTTGAAAGACACAGAAAGAGTTTATATATAACGTGCTCAATAACAGACTGCATTCTTTTAGCACATTAATACTCATGTTAATACAGCAATAAGCAGAATCTGCACAGCATCTATCACTCAGTTAAATTTCTTTCAGACTTTCAGTGCACTGTAATCTATATACATTCAAGCTTTACTTTAAAAAAGTAAACACCTCCCCTTTAGATCCCCTATATTCCCTAGATCTAGTTCCAACCACAATGAGCCACACCTGCTCCAGCTAATCAACCTTTTTAGAAGTTCCTGATTGGTTGGGTCAGATGCATTAGTGTTAGCGTGTCACATGCAGGTTGGATCTAAACTCTGTGGGAAAGTAGATCTCAGTTTATCAGTTACTTTCTAACCCGTTCATCATTGGTCAGTTGTTTTTTTCTGTGGTGGATCATTCTCATCACAGCAGCAACACTGACATTGTAGTATGTGTGGAGCTAGTATGAGGGCGTCAGGCACAATAGTGTTCCTGTGGGTTTTAACTTGTGAGGTCACTGCCAAGTTGATAGTGGTCCACTACTAAAAATTTCCATCCAAGACCAGCTCTGTGGTCAGAAACTGACAATTGACGAAGTACTAGAGGATGACTAACACAAACTGTGCAGATGGCCTACAGTTCCTAACTGTACATCAGAAATGTGGAGCTACAAGAGAGATGTTTCTAATAAAGAGGCCAGTGAATGTGTATAATGTGGAAAGAATTGTTGTAAATTCACAGTGGAAACGCTGCAGTAAAATACTGAATTCCTTAAAGCGCACTTTTCAAAATTTCTGCATATTTAAATCATTATGATGTAAACAAAGTCATTCAGGGTGGTTTGGTGTGAAATGCTCCATTCTAGAAAAACTTACTGAGTCAGAATTGTTCAAAATGGTTGTGACAGGAACCAGATGTCTGAAGTGTTCAATGCCTCTAAAAGCTACACCACAAAATTTTACATGAAACAGATATAAAACACTGCCTTATGTCATAGATACTTTCATTTTATGATAGTTTTGGGATCAAATGTACGTTTTAACACATTTATCGTGGAGAGGAACATGCATTATATAGAAAAATGGTCTCCAAAATTTCTATTTGACCTTCATCAACATTACATATAGAAACTCTGCCCTTTATTATGCCTTGTTCAAAAAGCAGTCTAGGCTGAAAGACTCCTTATAACTTCAGCGTGAATTGGTGGGGCTAAACTACAATAGGCTGAGTAGGTAGAGATATGTAAATCAGTTGGTTCTTGTGACATGACATAATCAATGAACACAAAATGGGCTGTTTATGCAGCTTAGTTTCCATATTTGAACCGTGTGGACTGGAGAGAGTATGATACATTTTGAAACTTTAATCATGTTTAAACTCCTTTATTTAAAAAAAAAGTGAGGAAAATATTCAGTTTTGCATGATATGGGCCCTTGGAGGTGAGCTACTGCCAAGACAATTCCTGTGATAAAATCAATAAGACCAATTCTGAATCTGATATGATTAGAGCAGGGCTGTTGACCGCTTACTGACCTGTTTAATCTCTAAGCATGACTCTGACGCCACCCAGTGGTCAAAGTCAAAACTCTGTTTTACATTCTTTCAGTCATTGCAGGATTTTACCACCCTCTGGATCTTGTCT